ATATAATATTTTGGTCATATTTTTTAACTCGTTCAGTTTTATACTTTTTGTATTACCGTTTATGAACAATTACATCACAGCAGTTGTGATGGAACTGCCAAATAAAGACTGGAATTACCAACTACATTTTTGCCACCTTCGTCCTCCCCTGGCTCTGGGTCAGACTCTGGCTCCAACATGTAAGGCTGGATGGACAAGTCTTCCTTTGTTGACATCTTTTAGTTTGTCAATGAAAAGTTTCTGTGCTGTTACATAGTCATAAACTCCTCTATCAAACCAGAATGGACCGCTCTGGAAGCAATGAAGCGCTTCTTTTGGATATAAAGAGACAGCATCAAAGRGGGTTGATCTGAGACATACGTCAGAAAGGGGGTGAAAGAGGGGCTTTTGTGGGGTTAAAAAAGCATTGCAGCTCAACTTAATGATTTAAATGTAAAAAGGATGATTTAAATGGAACAAGATTCAGCAGGACCTGAAGCTCTCCAATTTGGTCACATTTGGGGAGTTTAAGATTTTAATAAACAGATTTGAAAATGTGCACCTGTTCTTGTTGTCAATGAAAACCCTTTCTTTGATGARGTATGGTATTGATTTTTAGAAGTGTTAAGTAAATTGCATCATTATGGTTTTTATGTTACTTTGTTGTGGTGGATGTAACAGGTCTCTCTTGMAAATGAGACATGAGTCTCAAGAGATTTTCCTGTATTAATAAAGGATAATAAAAAAAATCATGACATGTCTCCTTTAAAGACGTCTCTGCATTTTAAACTAAACTTCAAATAAAGATCAACAGATGATTATTTCAAGTTAAATATTAGGTAATAGTGATCATCCTTCTTGTTCATGTTTAAGGGAAACAACAGTTTCACAGCGCCCCTTTTGCTCCCTGGAGGTCGCAAGGCGCAGCGCAGTCCCCGGGTTGCCCATCGTGCTCGCGATCTTGCGGCCAGCCGCTGGAGACGCCCCGCAGACCCAGGCGGCAAGCCGGCGAGAGGAGCGCCTTCCCCCGGTCGCCTGCGCGCCACGTGTCCGCGGTCTCAGCACCAGCTGGAGGTGTGCGCGCAACAGGAGAACCGCGACGCGCTCAGATGAATGACTTCACTTCCAAACACCGACATCAGCACATGGCCTATACTTGGGGAGGGGGAAAAAAATATTTGCATCACGAGAGAGCAAAGTTTTTCAAGTGTCAGGACCTGTTTTTCAAAGAAACAAAAATATCCGAGGAAATAAAACATCACATCAAAGGGTTTAACTGCCCCCACATGACCCGTAAACTTATTATTATAGGAYCGCAACTTTAGAAGGGTCCTGTTGCACAACCTGAAGAATGTAGACGCTGCTGCTCCTCAATAAACCTTCCAAGAGGCGATTGTTGGCATTATTTCACTCTCTTTATGCTCGTCTGCTCTGAGTGCAGTAAAGATAAGGAAATGAAATTATGACCTGATATCTACAAAAGCCTTGAACGCTGTGGGGCGGCCACAGGCGGGAAGGGAGGGAGGTAAAAAGAGAAAAAAAAAGAGGAGGAGGAGGAGGAGGTGTCGGTGTGATCGTGTGAGCTCTGCAGGCTCAGAAATATCTCCGCTCTCTGGCTCACATTCCGATAAGGGAGCCCGATCCAGCTCCGTCTGTGGGCGTGGTTTTCCCAGGCTTTTAAAACAGCAGCTGCTATTTACCTTCCCCTCTAATGTAAACCACCACCACCCTCCTCCTCCTCATCCTCCTCCTCCGCCCCCCTCCCCGGGCCCGGCGGGCCCCCCGGCAGCCCGGCGGCCAAAACTTCCAAACCACCGCGCGCTCATAAAACATCCTGGCACGTGCTCCACACTCACAACACCGACAGATGATTAAGTGGCAAGGGGAAAAAAAAGTGCCACAGACTCAGGACGTGTGTAATATGAAGAGTATGTTAAACATCAGCTTTGAAGTTGTCATCTTGCACAAAATAATTTATTCTGGTAATGAATTAAACTAAAAGTTATTCTGACCGGAAAGTTGCGACAATTTTTTGGGGGATTTTTGGAGGAAAGTCAGAAGCCTGTATGGTTTTTAATGTATATATCCTCCTTTTATTCAGTGTTGTTTTCCAGCTTTATGTGACGGGTCTCTCTCTCCCTGTGCCCGCGCTGTTAATGTGTAAACGCCGCGATGATTGAAGGCTGCAGACAGTTTTCCCCGGCTGCGCCCTGAACCCGCCAGCTCCAGCGGCCAAACAACCAATGGGAGGGCGCCGACCACGAGCCGTCCTCCCTCGGGCCGCGTGTCCCTCGCCCTGATTGGCTGAAAGTTACTGTGGGAAAGAAAGTTTGGGAAGTTTCACACGAGCCGTTCGCGTGCGGCGAGAGATATAAATACGAGGCACACGCGGAGAGCCCCACAGAGGCTGCGCGCGCTCCTGGTGGCTGCCGCTGCTGCGCGACGCTCCGACGGATTCTCAGGATTCTCTTTTGGGAACTTTTGAAACATCATCTCATTTGTTTGTTTTTTTTACCCCTCACACACCAGTGGATCCTAATTTGCTGTGGCTTTGTGGGATATTTCTAATATTTGAAAAAGATGCCCGCCGACATGATGGAAAAGTCCTCATCCTCTCCGGTTGCTGCAACTCCGGCGAGCATGAACACAACGCCGGATAAACCCAAGACAGCTTCTGAGCATAGAAAGGTTGGTGTCCTTTACAGTCAAACAACCTTAATGAATTTATTTTGCTTGGAATCGGAGGGGTTTTTTTTAAAACAGTTTTCTTGGTTTTATTTTCAGTCATCAAAGCCGATTATGGAAAAGAGGAGAAGAGCCAGAATCAATGAGAGTTTGGGTCAGCTGAAAACTCTCATCCTGGATGCGCTTAAAAAAGATGTAGGTACTCATATATGAGCTCCACGGTATCATGTCAACCTGAACACGAGCGCGTGATGTTAACCAGGTGTGTTTAATTCCCTCAGAGCTCCAGGCACTCTAAACTGGAGAAGGCGGACATCCTGGAGATGACGGTCAAACACCTCCGGAACCTCCAGAGGGCTCAGATGACGGGTAAGCAGAACTTGATATCTTTTTATTCCTTCTCCCTCTCTCCCTCTGTGCGCTTTAAATAATCCACAAACCTGCTGCCAGACTCGAGTCTGATTTGAATGTTTCCCCTCCCGCAGCCGCGCTGAACACAGACCCCACGGTTTTGGGGAAATACCGCGCCGGATTCAGCGAATGCATGAATGAAGTGACGCGGTTTCTGTCCACCTGCGAGGGCGTCAACACCGAAGTCAGGACGCGCCTCCTGGGCCACTTGGCCAGCTGCATGACGCAGATCAACGCCATGAACTACCCCAGCCAGCATCAGCACCAGCATCAGCTGCCTCCCGCCGCCGGACCGACTCATCCCTCCTTCGGCCAGTCCATGGTGCAGATCCCCAGCTCGTCCCCGCAGGTCCTGCCCATGAACCCGGTGTCCTGCAAAGGGGGCTCCTCGCCCCCCGCTTTGCCCCCAGACGCCACCAAAGTGTACGGCGGGTTTCAGATCGTGCCTGCCACGGACGGACAGTTTGCGTTCCTCATACCCAACGCGGCGTTTGCGCCGAACGGCCCCGTCATCCCGGTGTACGCCAACAACGTCAGCACGCCGGTGCCGGTTCCGGCTGTGGTTTCCCCCGGAGCTCCATCAGGCAACACGGACTCAGTGTGGAGACCGTGGTGAAAAAACAAAAACAATAGGACCACAATAAAGACTTGACATGTATTAGTTATCTCTTTGCTAGAAAGTCGTTTTCATCTTTTTTTTTCTTCTTGTAAATGGAAAAGATGCACTATATTTGTACAGCTAACAAGGGAAGTAAAAGTTCATATTGAAATGGGATTTGTAATGTGGAAGTCCGTTCACTGCATTTTTCATAAATATATAATTGAGTTGTATTTTTTACTGTGTGGAGCCAAAGAAATGTTCAATGCTCTTATGCTGTTCTTCGTTTTGGAAGACAAAAATAAATTTGTAAAAAATGTGAAAAACAAAGGTTGTTGTCCATGCGCTGCTTGTTATAGAAACAATCTGATGTCATTTTTTAAAAAAATTCATAAAAATGTGCAGAATGTCTTCAGTTTTCAAACTTAAACTTAACGATTCTGTGCGTAAAACCAAAACTGACCGGTGCCATSCTGTTTGATTCTGAGTATGGCTAAAAGTCAACACGCTTTGTTTTTTAAAAGTTTAAAATAGATTAAAGAGGTTCAAAATGCACACTTACAAAGCCTGCAGTTTCAGCAATTACTTTAAATAGGCTATAAACTTGAATTTAACTGCGCGCAAAAATGAGGTTGCTTTTTGTCCAAAAGCGAACAATGGATAAAAAAAATTGTCTTATTAGAAATGATTCAGATTATCAGTAAGTTTGGTCACATTAAAATCCCCTGACCTCAGTGTTTCKCTCTGACAGTCCAGCTGTTTGAGCTCGCCTGGAAGTTTAAAGACTTTCAGAGGTCACTCACGCCATCTAGCAGCAGAAAGCGACATTGCAGCCTGATTGGAAACAGGATCAATAAAGTCCAGTTCCAAGTTGCTGCTGATGATGAGGTTTGAGGAGATTTAGCTGCTTTTGAAGAGAGAGCTGAGACCAGACAAGTACCTGGTGTTTATTTTCTTGGAGCTTTTTTTTAATCTTGACATCAAGATTAAAACAGCTTGTTGATTTTGAAGAACCTTGGAATATTCTGAGTCAGGAAAGCAGCCAAATATTCACTTTAACAATCTGTGAGTAATCTGAACTGATCCAGACGCTAAAAAACAGGATCATTTTCAGTCTTTCTTATTGCTTTTCATTCAGATTTCACTGGAGCAGCAGCATTAATCTCCTGATGCTATAGAACAAGTTGGACCCTCGGGCCTGGTCTTTAATCAGGCCACAGTTCCTCGGTGTGTATGTGTGTGTGTGTGTGTGTGTGTGTGGGGGGGGGGGGTCGACAGAAGAATGACACGATAAACACATCGCCAATGAGCCATGTGGTAGCGCTCTGCTCTGCCCAGGTGTGTGTGCCCCCCTCCAGCTATTCAAGTGTGGCCCTTTCTTTGAAGGGGTAGGCGTGTGTGTGCGGGGAGGGGGGGGGGGCATTGCAGGTGTTTGCAATTATCACTGCGCTAAGAGGCACAAAGTGTGGATAAGTGCCATCATTTTGAATTTCCATCACACCTTTTTTACAGAGGGGGCCATGTTTCCTGATTTGATTGGAGCCATGTGTATGCTCATGCTTGTGCGTGCATGTTTTGTGTGTGTGTGTGTGTGTGTGTGTGTGTGTGTGTGTGTGTGTGTGTGTGTGTG